AAAAAAAGGAATGCATTGTATTCCAAGAATTATTTTTGAAATGTATCCTCGCACCTCTAGAACTTTTGTTTTCAGCGTTAGTGGAAATATTGTCATAAGTTACAACTACTGTACCAGAGAAAAGTAACTGAAGAACTACATTAAAAATACAAGTTGAAATAAGGTCTACATTCTTCACCACAATTTCCAATTACTGTGTCTAGGCAATGCAGAAAATAAGATATCGAATTAACTCATGGCCAGAATTTCCTAGCTTTGCCCAGCGACAGCAGGCTGGGCTAAGATCTCAACATCAGCCTTAACTATGAATTCATAGAGTTTGTTGGCTTGCACCACAATCTTAATTAATCAGTCTTTCTGTGTTTAAATATGACAAGGTAACAACAGAATTTCTGGATGAACTGCGATTCCCTAGGACTGCATAGCACAAACTGCATTCAGTGTGACAAAGAAACATGCCAGTTTCATTTGCCAGTTCAAATGTGCCAGCTTTAGTTTTAGCAGTTTAATTTGTGGTAGTCATGTTCAGAATATTGTGAAGTATTCACAATGGTTCTCATAAAATCGGTTTGTAGACAAAGTTTACACAGTGGAAAAGAAAAGCAGTGTATTTGGCAGTTAGAAAAAATATCCCTGTTCCTGTCCACAGCTGGTCTCTATGCTGCTGCTGGATATTTGGGAGATAAAAAGCTCATTTTGGAAACATGAATAAGCTCAAGAAGCCTTTTTATTATCTTTTGCCTAGTTTTCCAGAGGATATGAAAATGTTTAGTGGTATTGTCCTCTCAGCTCTGTTTACGCAGGAATAAAACAAAACCTATGATTCAAAAATTAACATGGTACTCAAAAGCTAGGGCTAAGAACTGCAAATTAGTTTATGTAAAAGTAATGAAAAGACTAGTGAAATCCTGGCCCCACTGAAGTAAATGAGAGTTTAGCCATTTACTTCAACAGGGCCAGGATTTCACCCACTGTGTTTAATGTAAAGAAAGTTTTGATTTATATAAACATCCTAAAGAATCATTTTCAGAACACTGGCTTGGTAATAAATAAAAGCAATCAATGGTGGCAATCATTAAAAAGATTAAATATTTACCATCTACAGTTGTTAAATTATTGTGGTATTACCTATCAAAACATGCAGAAACAACATCTAGTTTTAATAGAACCCTTTGTATTTTTCCCTTTTGTTTTCTTTCAGTATCTCATGGAATTGATCATTTCAGTTCTTCAAGTCCTTACACTCTAAGTTTCCTGAGGAAGGATTTCTCTGTTCGGTGATCATGATTTTATCCCATACTCTACCATTTTCTGGCTAGACTAATTTCTGAGGAAGCCTTTGAAAATGGTCTCTCTCAAGTCTTCCTTTCTGAATTTGGGGTTCTATTAAGCAGATATTGTATCGACTGGCCTTTAAAGTAGAATCTTGTGGATTTGGCTTCCATAGCACCTGGCTAAACTATTCAGCAGAAAACTGAGCACCACTGCAAAATGATTTTGTGGGGTATCTGCAAATGCCTCCAGTACAGCACAGTTCTGGTGAAAATTTTATTATAATTTCTGTCATTTTTTCATGAAACTTTAATCCTAATTCACCAGAGCCAAAATTTTGCCTTCCAGAGCTATGAAAGACACTGACTGACTTTCAAAGTTAATCTAGCTCTGAGCTGAAGGAGATACGACATACCCTTTAACCTAAGGAACAAAAGCCGTTTTAGCATTCTTGAATGGGAATCCAGGCTCTTAAACTTGATGCATGCATTGGTTTATGGAATGCCTGCACTCCTGCTCATCTGCAAGCCTGACACTGTGACCGCTCAGAAGGTACTATGCCAGTTTCAATAGTGAATAGGTGCCAATCAAAAATGTGTTTTAGAGGTGCAGCCTGCATATTGTAGCAAATGCCATATATTAGGGCAGAAGTTCCTCCTGTTATCATGTAATGCCAAATTAGGGACACATGCTTCATGGCATGATATCACATTGCATCTGTAAATGCTCATGGCCATCAAAGAACGCAGTTCTGCTGATTCTTCTCCTTCTTCTTACTTTGTATACATCTTTCTCATGATTTGCTACAAACTCAACATATCCCTGGCAATCTCTGTCATAAGAATCTCAATAGTAGAGTATTATACCTTTAGGAAATCATGTGGGAAGTAGCCTATAACTGGACCTCTTTTCTACCCATATCTTAACACATACAAAAAAAGCTATACCTACAGTAACATCTGACCTCCCTACTCCTAACTACCATCTAGAAATGGACCAGAAATCTCTATGCCTTCACCCCTCATCTTGGGAGTGAAGACTTATGTTATGATGTAACCATCTAATGAATATGTGCAAAGGAAGTACGAGCACTGGCAGTGGTGAGGAAGGAAATTTCTAGCTTGTACATGGATGGTGAAATGCAAAGCAGACTTAACAATGATGTTGGAACCTTAAACTTAACTGAGTATTGTGTGATGTTTCTGCATTTAAATTTTAAGCCCTAACTGTGTATTAAAGGAGTCATTGCCATTGGAAATAAAGAATGATTTATGTAAAGACCAGCATCAATCACTAGCCATGATAAGGAAGATAAATGAATATCTGGTATTCTCTCTCACTTGC